CCAGGACCATCGTCTCGGGCCACCTGCACGAGAGCGGAGCTCGCCCTGCTCCCGGTGCCTCTCCCGGCACTGGCCTTAGCGAGCCAAGGAGGACGGCAGCAATTACAGCGCGCACAATTAACGGGCTTCTAATCTCCAGCCTTGCGTGTAATTGCTGCCGTCAAATACAATTAGCGTCTGCCCAAGTTCCCTTCCCAGCGGGGACAGCCGGGCCGTGACACGGAGCGCCAAAGAGCGACGCGGAGCGACTGCAACTTCGGGCGAGTTTCCCTGCTCTTTTTGCCCCCCTTGTAATCCTCACCGCTCAGGTGGCGGCCAGAGCTGTGCGGCCGGGGTGCTGAGGGGCAGAGCAGCCCGGGGGGTCTGCTGCTGGCTTCGGGCGCTGAGCGACCGAGTGAAATCTGTCACCTGAGACAGCGCGAGCTTAATTACAGCTCACCCAGCTCGCTTGGAGCATTTACCCTTAACTTGGTGTCAGCCTGCGGGGGTGACCGCCGAGCCTGGCCTGGGAGAGCGGAGCCTGGCTCTGCTGCTGCCGTTCCCAGCGCTGGGAATGCCGCCTGGCGCCCCTGGAAGTGGCGAGCTCCCTGTCCCCCGGCGGTGCTCGGCCCACGGCATGAGTGGGCAGAGCCCGTGGGGGAGTGCAGAAGGGCGAGCGGCCGCGGCGCTCGGTCCCGCGCGGGGCTCCTGTGCCCGGGCCAAGAGGTGTCCCCTGCAGACACAGCTTCTCGCTCCTCCGGCCCATGGTGCAGGGGGTGAAGTACAGGGTGCGTGTGGAATAAACGCGGGTGTAAATCTGTGCTACGAAGAAAAGCATTCCAGAAGGAAATGGGGGGCAATACAGCAGGTAGTGCTGCTCTTCTGACTTAAGTTTCCTCAGACTTTGAGAAAGAAGAGCAAACAATGCAATAAGTATCCTCTGAACTTGACCTGAAGTGATTTTTTTCCATGCATTGTGGTGTCTCAGCTTCGTGGCTCTCATATGTAGCTCTCATTTAAGTCTTCTTACCTCTTTTGCTTCCACCCTGCGTGATGCTACAGAGCTAAGTCTTGGGCATTTCAAGGCTTTAGCCAGTGTAATTTTGAAGACAAATGTTTTGATGTTAAGCACTTTTTACTAGGGACATATTTTCCTCTCCTTTAGATATATAAATTGGAGAGAGCTCTCCTATATCTAGGGTGGAGAGAGCTGTATAACCTCATGGGTGAGGGAATGAGAAGCTGAAACTCACTCTCTCCTTGCTGTTGTGCAGCACCTCTGTGTGGTGTGCCTGCCTCAGGTTGAGTGTCCCTTGTCCTGTGTCCATAGCAGCTGTATGCAGTTAGGTCCAGCTCAATCCCGGAGCTAATTGTCGTAGTAAGGACCTTGAGGCCCTGCAGGGTTTTGGCAGATGAGTTCAAAGGAGTCACCGCAAGGTCCCGGGCATCTGCTGTCTTGACATGTATTGGAACCATCCCTGGGCTCTAAGATAATACACATAATAAACATGTGGCCTGTCTGCAGGTTAACCCAAGAGGTTAACCCACCTGACCAGACCTCTGCCAGCAAAGTACTGCCCTTCCTTTGCCAAAGGCTGTCTCTTATCCTGTCTTCAAACTAGAAGGGAGGTGGACCGTGCAGCAAGCACAGGACACTTTGGGACCAAAATAGAAGGTGATCTCAAACCCACAACCTTGCAAAGTAAATGTTTGTCTCTAATTCTGTGAGGGTTTTTTTTTTCTGTTTTCCATAATGCTTAGTATGGTAAAACTATCTTATCTCTCCTTTATTTTTCAGTCTTGGTTAGACTTTAATGTTGTTAAAGCTTGTAAGTGAGTTTGAGCTGCTGTCTCATTGAAGAGGAGATGGAGCAGAAATTGTCAGTGAGGCATTGGACAGGGTTTTTTAATGTGTCTGTCATTATATGTTAACCTCTGAACTGGGACGCGACGGCTCTTTTAAGGCTGACAACAATTTAAAGGTATACATCTTGACGTCGGGCATAAAGGAAGAAGGGGGGATGGGGCAAAAAAAGAATTAATGATGTTAGCAAATATTAGTGCCCGTATTTCCGTTCCGCTCAGAAAGCGCTTGTCAGGCTGGAGCAGCATTGCTGGTGACAGGCACTTGGATCCGATTGTACCCCCGCTCAGGCGGCTCTTCTACTGACAAACACAGCGCACCGAGGCAGCAGGCAGGACGCGCGGCTGTCCCCTCCGCTTTTCTCCCGGCGTTCCTGAGGAAACGATCGTTTCTGCGTGTCGTGCGGTTCCCTGGGCCCGTGTGATACATCGGGTGTCCGGGGAGCTGGACGTGTCTCTTGATGAGTGTGTAAGTTGCAGATAGAAATGTGCTTGTGATTTATGCTGGTGCTGATCAGTCAGACCCCCCCTGCCAAAACTGGCTGTCGGGAGTAATAGTGACTCTGATATCAACCTTAATTTTGAAAAAAGCAACACAGAATCAATGCACAGGAATTAAAGGTAAACATGGGAAATGGCAGGGCATTTCTTAGGTTTCTTTCTTGCCTTTTTGTGGATCTCATGTGGGCAGCTGCTGCTTTGGCACTCAAGGGCAGTCCTCCAAGGCGTCTTCCTGCCTTGTTCCAAGCTCAAGCTTTGTTGCTGTGCTTGGAAGGTGACCTCAAGCCCCTCACACTTTCTGCATTTTTCCCCTCTTACCTAGTCCTGACTCCACATGTCAGTGCTGTTTTGTGCCTGGGATTCAGCTGCGAGTTATGGGAGCCTGAGATCATGTTACTTCTTAAATACCATTAGTTAGGTGCATCCCTGCAGCGCTTTGGGGTAGCGCTGCCAGCAGTGAGTGAAAAAGAGCTGATTTAATTGAGAGCTGCATAGTTAATTATTAGCACCATTTAAAAAGGCAGAGAGAAAGGAATTGCAGTCTCAGGTTTTTAATTTCATTGTGGTTTTCAAAGTAATGTGATGTTAACCTCACTGGTTGTCATCTCTATGTATATATGTGACATTTACTTTATTTCTGCAGACTGAAAGCACTTTTTCACTGTAGAAATGCTAGGAAGCTTGAGAGGGAGCGCGCCGGCGTGCCACAGATCCGCTCGGCCGCACGAGAGACAACGGGGGCATCGGTTCCCGTTAGCGCGGTAGCCGTGACGGGATTGGAAGGGGCTGCTGCTCTCGATCCATCTGGTGTGTTGTGCGCTGTGTGTCCTACGAGTTTGCTTGCGGACACTTGCGTGTTAGTGCCCAGAAAACGGATGGAGATGGTGGAGGTGGGCGGGAGAGCTCCTGGTGTCGGCAGCTGCTGAGGATGGGAGGGTGGGAAGAGAGCTGCTTGCATCCCACTCGCTCCTGAGTTTTCCCTGCCTTCAGGAGCAAGCACTGCTTGAAGTCTACATGGATCTGCCTTTGGAATTCCTGCTCTCGCTAAAGTTGGATCCCCAGTGGTGTTTTTAATGCCTTCACGTTTTAAATCCTGAGAAGATATCTCAGATTTTTGGGGATTCATATTTTTGTAATCTTGTTCTGCACACACAGGACAATGAAGGAACAAGCTCAGCTCAGGGTTCATAAATTGAATATTTGAGTTACCTTTTTCTGTGTAAAAGAGATGAGATAAAAGCTGCTTAGACAAAGTAACCTATATGTAGGTTAAGACCCAGAAAGATCTTTGCCCAAGCATTTTTGGGAATTTGGGCTTTGTCATTAATTTTCTCAATGACCTTATGTGTAGTTGATCAACATAATGAATCTTTGGAGATGCATTAGTTGTGCGAAGGCGATAACCTTAATCCAAGAAACCTTTTTTACAATTTTTGCTTCAAGAAAGTTAGATGTATTTTCTCAAGTGTTATTTTTAACCTTAAAAAAGTAATATCTAAAATTTGCCATGAAGAAGAAATGAAAGAATATAGATGGAAAACAAACAAACCAAAAACCTTCCTGCAGTTTCTGACACTCATTGAATGGCTACACTGTCCCTCAGCCTCGAAGGAGGGAGACTGGTTGTGAGTGTAGCTTGATTTTATAGGAATAGCTCTTGCATGTAATAGCAGATGATCTGAAATTAATTTTGTTCATAAGTGGTGTGGAAATAATTGATGGACAGTAAGGTTCTTTGCTAAATAATTTTTTAAGAGGGGCATTGCACTGTAAAGACCTGAAAGCCCTTTGCCTTGGGCAGGACTTTGCCTCACCTTTTATTCTAGATTAGAGAAGGACTGCTTGCCATGGAATAATAGTTTGCAAAGCCAATTTCCTTGCTTTATATCTGCTTTAAATAAGTACGTCTGCGATAGCTGCAAACCCAGACATTACTTGGGCTGGTAGAGGAGAGCTGAGAGACGGAATGGAATGGTTCAACCTGAGCAGTTTGAATTACTCTCCTGGAGTCAAAGTGCGGGGGTTCCCTGGAATAACAGGAGCTTTTGGTGCACAGCAGCCTATGGATAGGGTCAGGCTTACGGATAGCAGCTGCTCACCCCGCTCCGAAAAGCTGGCATCAGTTTAAAGCCGGTGTCTGGAATTGAAGGTCCCAACCCACTGGTGACTTTTGGGAGAGGGAGGCCTTGGAGCCGTATCGATCAATCATTATTCTAATTGTGCCCTTCTATTATGGTGGGATCGCTCCGAATCCTAGAGTTCCTGGGAGTAAATCATTTGGAGATGCTGCCCATTATAAAATGTAATTTTAAATCTATATTAAATAGATTTATAAAGGCCAGCTTTGCAATCTCGTAGCATAACATTATGCTCCCTCACAGCAGCTCCGCGTCGGGGCCCTAAGGGGCCGGGAGCGCCGCGGGGGCGACAGAGCCGCGCGCTGCAGCAGGGAGAGGCTGTCCGCGTGGGAGCATCCCAGAGACCCCCGTGCCCATCCCCTGAGGGGCCGCGGCCTCCGTGCCCGAGTGCATCCCGGAGAGGGATCCCTTCTCCGGGGCTGCAGAAGGCGAGGGGGAGGTGAAGGGGTGGCCGCGGCGGCGTGAGAGCCGGGGTGCTGGACCCATCTCTCTCTCTCTCTCTCTCTCTCTTTCTTCCAGATAACAGAGAAGAGAGGGAAGGAATGCAAAACTGCCTTTGGAGGCCCAGTCGTCAGCTCCTTATATCAAGAAGAAACAATCAGGTGATTATCTGCTCTGCGCTTCTGTTTAAAAAAAAAAGTGTTTTTTTTCTAGTGGAATTTTGTTAAGCTTTTTTTTTTTTTTTTAATACCACGCAAGTGTGGTGGCAACTACAACAGGATAATAAATGACAGGAAAGAACTTTTCAGGTCCATAATCGTTTAAATCAATAACTGCCTGTATCCTTGCCAGGTACTAACCTTTCCCCAGTGTGAGATGTGGGGGAAGGGCAAGGCTTCCCATTTTTCAGTTATATGGCTAAAAAAAGGTAATAGTGGCTTTTTTTTATAGAAAGCTCTTCAGGCACTACCTTTTTCAAATAGTTATTTCTTTACCAATACATTCATTAAGAATTGTTCAGTGAAGGGTTTAATATTGGACAATGTTTGCCTTCAGGGAGATTTTGTACCTTATATCAAATTAATTTTTCTCCGAGCTTCTGAGCTGGCATAGCAGGAATGCGCTTGCTGATGTAGAATGGCTGCTGTTGGAGGAGGTGATTCTGCCCCTCTACTCAGCTCTGGTGAGATTCTGCCCCTCTACTCTGCACACCTGGAATACTGTGTGCAGTTCTGGGCTCCCCAGTATAAGTGGGATGTGGAGCTTCTCGAGAGGGTCCAGAGAAGAGCAACTAAGATGATTAATGGAATGGAACATCTCTCATATGAGGAGAGGCTGAGTGAGTTGGGCTTGTTTTCTCTGGAGAAGAGAAGGCTGAGAGGGGATCTGATTAACATGTATAAGTTCATGAAGGGAGAATGCAGGGAAGAAGGGGACAAGCTCTTCTCAGTGGTGGCCAGCGATAGGACAAGGGGAAATGGGCATAAGCTGAAACACGGGAAGTTCCAAATCCAGGTGAGGAGCAACTTCTTCACTGTGAGGGTGACAGAGCAGTGGAACAGGCTGCCCAGGGAGGTTGTGGAGTCTCCTACTCTGGAGGTCTTCAAAACCCGCCTGGATGCCACCGTGTGCCACATGCTCTAGGTGTCCCTGCGTGAGCAGGAAGGTTGGACTAGATGATCTCTAGAGGTCCCTTCCAACCTTCAATATTGTGTGCTTCTATTCAGACCTGCCAAGGTGCAGGCAGCAAGCGGCATTTGCTTCTGAATGAGGACAACTGTCGGTTTGGTTCTTTCCATTTCGCAGTAAATGCAAACCTAGTAAGCATGGGCATTATATTAACTCCAGCGATTGCTTGGAGAGTCTTTAGGATTACTGCATCTTATTTTTAATTAAAATGAAGAGTCAGAGAAGACTACATGTTTCAGTCGTGTTGTAGCCGCCCAGTTACGTGTGTGTGATTCTACTTGTTTTCTATTATGCTTAGTGCCATTTTCTTCTCAGTAAATTAAAATATAAATACCGCTTGATTTCTCTTCACCCACACATATATTCCCAAACTTGCCAGGAGTTTTCCCAAAGTGTTAAGATTCTAGTACAGCGTTTCTGTGACTTGCAGTAATGAACTAATGAAAAACACATCACAAGCAGGTGGTTCCAAGCCCTTTGCAAGGAGCCCAGGTAGATGGGGATATGACTGTTCCGAATAAGCAAGTGCAGCGGGAATTTTGCTTGCGGCAGCAGTGTGGGTGCTTCCTTAGCCATCTTGTAGCAAGAAGGATCACTTGGCCAGGACCGACCTTCTCCGTTTTGCACGGAAAGTCTTTAATGTACGCCTGGACCCTGACCAGAGGTGGGCAGGTGCGACCTTGCTTTCACATTCTGCTTGAGAAATGGCACTTTGGGAGCCGCAGGCTCCTTTTTCTTCCCTCGACTCTCAGTGTACGTCTTGGCCAACATCCTTGAGCTCGTAATCTGACCTTGTGGTTAAAGTCCTGCTTGAGCTGTTCAATCAGGAGGTGAATGCGCCAGTGCTGCTTGCTGTCGGACACTGAGCAGGAGGCTCCATCCTTTCAGAGAAAAGGCTACTGCAGGTACCACTTGTGCCCCTTCCTGGTCACAAAACAGCACAGAAAAACCCAGGGCTGGTTCTGGTTGGCTTGACTAGTCTCAATCTTTTCTGGTTTGGTTTTTGCTTTCATGAGAATATGACACATGCCGGGCTTGCAAATAACTACAGCTTTTAGTGCTTCTATTACCAGATGTGAGGCAAATAATGGGTATAGATAATGGGGAGTGTTTTGTGCCATGTGTGTAGCTGCTGGTTGTGTTCTCATAGAGCATAGTCTTAATCCCCATAAAACAAGGTGCAGACAGGTGTACTGTCTGCCACAGCTGGAGCAGTTTGATAGCTGCTGAAAACCAGCAGCTAAAGAAAGTCTCTAATAAAGTCTCCTAGTGCATCTGAAGCAGGATAAAAACACTCATGTGACCTGTTAACACAGCTCGGTCAGCAGACATGAGCACTCAAGCTGTGAGACACGGCGTGAGCGTGTGTCGCCGTGTGTCACCTGCATGCGAGCTGTGCGACTTCACCTTCTCGGTGGAGTTCACTGTGTAGCCCTGTTACATGGCTCAGGTCTGTAGTGCTGCTTCCCTTACCAGAGCCGGAAATAAATCTGTGCACGTGTAGTATCCCTAATCCTCGGGATTATATGATTAAAAGCATAAAACCTAGGTGACAAAAACCAAGTACGTGTTTTCTGTAGGCAAGAAGGAAAATTAAGATACTGATTTTTCTCTATTTTGATTCTAGAGTTTCCCTCGTCTGTAGCTAAACTCTGAGCTTCCGTGGTCAGGTTCAAGTTCTCCCTTGCCCATTCCAGGGCTGGAAGTCCTGTGAGGTGTTAGTTACAGGAGGTGAGGAGTGGCACCAAGAGCTGGGAGTGTTTGTGCTTCAGGGTTTCACTGGCTGCTGCGTGTGGCTACCACGGTGTTCGAATGCGAGTGCTGAGGGTTAGCAGGTAGGGGCTACAACGTGCCTGAGGGAGCTGGGCTGGGGCAGAAGGAGAAAGAAAACTTCATGCCAAATGGCAAGAACTTCACTGCTTTGGTTAGCAGCGAGTTCAGCGTACGTCTGTGTACGTGCAACATTCTGTACACGTGTAAGACCTGTGATAAGAAACCTTGCAGGCTGTTTTATTGACCCAGTTGCCAATGTTGGGCCTGTTTGGGGCATTAAAACAGCCTTGTCCAAGCAGGAGTGTCATTCACTCCGCTTGCATCTCAGGTTCCACGAGCTCTTGATGGGATATTTTCTAGTTGAGGGATCGTATTAAGCGAGAACGCCTATGTTCCTATTGTGGAACTAAGCACTTTTTTTTTTTAGCGTACAAATCTGTAAATGATGGACAAAGTGGAGTTACTCTGCGCTGAAGTCAAGTGGGTCACAAATCGGAAGCACTGGGATGGCTCCCAGGCTTGTTTTGTGTTATCACTGGTTATCTCAAATGTTTCTACATTGAGGACAAGATAGAAAAATGTCTGGCTCGCGTAAGTACATTGCACTGATTCCAAATAAATTCAAGAGCATCTGTAGAAACCAGTTACGCAGATCTAATTAAATCAATTTAGTAACAAATTCAGTTAAACGGGTGCAGTTTGTGTGTTCATAGATCAATCCTCAAATCGGGAGGAGGTTGCTTGAACTAATGAGACACGGTAGTTATTTCCTTTGGGGTGCTGGGCACTGCTCGTCAATTAGGAGGCATTAATAAAGGCTGTCAGTAAAGAGCCGACGTGTCCCCAGCGCCTAACGGGGAGCAGTTGCAAAAGGATTTTAGCAAAGGCTCTGGGTTCTCAGTAAGTGACCCCTCGCTTTGGCTCTGCACAAAAGGAACATGGGCTCTTGAGCGGTGGCACTTGCAGGTTCTGCCCAAAGGAGGAATCGTGTCTGATTTCACACTGCCCCGCTCGCATTGATGGCTTATAGGGGTGACTTTGGGCTTTTTGTTTGTTTATTGAACTGTTGCATGAAGCATCGTGTGCGTTTTCTGGTTTTATTGCCCAAACGGAAGCAGAAAGATGTGAGTTCTTCCATGGACAAATAGTTGCAGTTTCACAGACCTAGCAAATAAACTGAAATGTGGTCGATTGATGTGCCAAGCTCTGGTTGGCCCCGGCTTCATGTTTTGGGGGGGCTGCAGTACAGGCAAGAAAGAGGTGAAAAAAGAAAAGTGGAAACCTCTGCCCTTTCCCGCAGTGCTGGGAAGGAAAGGAAGCGAGATGCTTCCTTGGAGCCGCCCCCTTTGGAGCTGGGCACGAGGTGCGGGCCAGGACGTAGCGCCAGCGCTGAGCAGGGCACCCAGGGCGGGCAGCACCCGGGCACCCACCCTGCCGCGCCGGGAGCCCGCTGGGTGCCCTCGGGATTGCATTAATGCCGCGAGCACCGGCTGCCATCTGGCCCCCGCGCGGGCCCGGCCTGCGCGCCCCGTGATTGATGGGCGCAGGAATTGATTAGTTGTTCCGCGAGACAAATGAACTGTTTTGGCAGAAAATACCAGAGGTCGCTGCGTGTGGTCAGGCACAAAAGCTGCTGAATTTTAAAGAGCTGCTTCCAGCATCCTTTGTGGAGCTGCTGCTGCTGCTGCTGTGGAGCAGGGAGAGCTTGTGAAAGCAGCCCGGCGCCCCGGAGGGCATTCGGGGTTTCCTTCTTGCCCTGCTCCCTGTCTTCAGGAATGCCGGGATGGGGAACGGGCAGGAAACTGTGGAGTTTAAGTGTAAAAATGGGAGCAAACCTCCTTGGCTTGCTGGGAGGTAGGGGTTTGCCTTGTGTTACTGGTGCGTTCACGTGGCTGCGTCACAGGTGTTTGTCGCTTGCACAAAGGTTGGGCTGTAAAATCCCAACATCCCAAGAGCTTTTCCGCTTGGAGAGCCTGAGCACTGCCAGCCTGTCGCAAAGGAGAGCGATTCCTCTGAACAAAACCCACAAACACTCTAGGCGCTTTATTATTTTTTCAGCTTGCTGTAATTTAGGAATGGATCCGCTTGGGGTGGTGTTTTGAGACCCTGGCTTGAAGATTATTGCCAAGTTTATCCCGGCTTGTATTGCGCCCTCCTGTTTGCTCCGGGCAGAGCGGCGATCCCGGCGCTCCGGTTTCGTGGTGCCAAGGGGCTCTTGGCTGCGGGCCCTGCTGCCCCTCGGGAGCCTCCGCGTCCCGGGATGGCAGCTCCCCTCTCCCGGTGCCGCTAATCCGCCAAAGTGCCGGCGGGTGCGCGGCGGCCCGGGCGCAGGATGACACATGTCTTGCCGCGGCGGCCCCTCTCCAAGGAGAGCGCGCGAGTGTGCGGGCAAGTGGGCAACAGCTCCCCCGGGAGGGCCGCCTGGCTCAAAATAAACTTGAGTTATGGATTTATTCAGCTTGGGAAACCTCAGCTGGCGTAAATAATTGAGAAAGCAAAGGTTTGTCTGTGGCGCGTACCCCTGGGACACGCTCCTGCCTCCCTCCCTCCCACCACCTTTTCTTATGAAAATGATCCCAGTTGCACTGATAGATAATAACAACACCAAGCAATTAAAAGCTATGGGTGGCTGGAGAGAGGAGAAAAGGTTCAGTTAATGAGCTTTTCCTCTCCTTGGGCCCAGGAGAGCCTCAGAAGTGACGAGGCGATTAAAGCGAAGAGATAATTATAGATTATGTGAAAATGGGTCCCTTGGGGACCCAGGGCCCCGACATGAACAGTAACTGTTGCGAGTGTCTCCTGGCTCCGGCGCCCGTGCCAGGCGCGCGGGCGAAGCCACCTGTTTGCAGCAGCGCTCGGGATGTCCCCCGCGCCGCCTCCCCGGGGACAGGAGCCTCCGCGGAGCCCCAAGGAAGTGCATGTGTCCAGGGAAAACCAGGAGAACACCTTGGACCTCAGGTGCAATCTGCGGCTCTTCCTAACGGTCTCTGTGGTTGCTGAGAGAGCAAGTAAGCGTCCCATGTTGGTGGAAGCAAAGCCCCGACAGCAGCTCTTGCCGCGCGAGCCGTGCAAAAACATCGGCTTAACACCTGGATCCTTTGGGAAGCTCTGAACAATCCTTGTGAAACCTTCCAATATCACAAAGGCTGCAGTGGTGACTTGGTTTAAATCCTTCTACATCCCTTATTTAGGGACTGAGAAAGCCCCTACCTATGGCAACAGGTCCAGTTCAGTTTGGTTTTAGGTCAGGGCTGATGTCACTTCATGGGGAGGCAGGAGAGCAGAAGAAAGTGGCTTTGCAGGTAGATGATGTGCAAGCAAAGGAGGACAAGAGAAACCAAACTGGTTGTCCATTGGTTTCTCTTGTTTTTTCTTTGTCCAAAATAAAAAACAAGTAGAGGTAAGCAGGGCTGCTACTATTATGGACTATCAAATGGCTTCTGATTTGAGAAGTTCGGAAGGTTTGTGGGCAGAAATCTTCGTAACGACGGGTTAGGCTTCTTTTGCATCTCTTTCAGAATGGGCTTATTTCTCTCTGTCACATGTGTGGAATGGCTGGGAGAGATTTTTTAAAACCCAACATTTCTTGTAAACAGCTCCCCTGATTTAAACTTGGAGGATAAATGCGCAGGGGAAGATGAGGTTTCCCAAAACCTTACCTGTGCTTCTGTGGCATGCAGCCATGCCACTTCTCCAGCGGCCTTGGTGGCTCCCATTGCCAGGGGCAGCAAATACAGCCTGAACTCAAGGTTATGGCACAGAAAATCACCCAGAAATAATTGTGTTTTTCTTCTTTTTTTCAACTTCCTTAGCGTGGCGAGACTAGATTCTGCTTCAGTGCTGCAGAAGAAAGAGTGATCTCAACTAAGAAAAGAGCATCTGTGTTTATGTGAAGGAAGAAAAAGTTGTTGGAAACCGGTTGTTTTAGAGCATACTCAGAGCAGCAGCATCGCCCCAAGGAGCTGCTGCTGAGCAGCCAAGGACGTGTTTGAGAGTTGGGCTAGCACGGTAGCACCGAAGGGGTCTCTGGGCATGCAGAAGTGCCCGTGCTGGGGGTGGGCACGTCTCCTGACTTCTGCCAGGAATCCGTCGGGCACCGCTTTAAGCGATTTAGTCTTTTGCCTTTCCTGGTCTATCAGAATTCAAATAATTCCCCCAGAATTCCCATAATCACACCCAAAGCACACGGTGATTTGCTTCCCGGGAGCTGGTGTGTAGTGTACAGAGCACACCCCACATGAATGGACAGGAGGAAGGTGCTGCTCACAGGGAGAGGGACATCGGAGGAAGTGACTTCTTCAGGGAAAGTAGCACTTCTCCTACTGTGGGAGGTCGATAGCACTTTTTATTTATTTATTTGTTTATTTTTGCAGCCTTTACTGCTAGGAGAAAATCATGTGAGATCTGAAGAATGAAATATGATTTGCAACTAGATGCATAACAATAAAAGAAAGTTGAACTTCCTTTACAGACCTTGGATGCAAGTGGGAAACATGGTCTTGGCAGCACCTGTGTCTTTGTTTTTGTTGGGAGCGCAAGTCAAAAAACCTCACTTTCTCCTTTTGACTCTTTGCCCACTAATGCAAAATAGTATTTGGATTTTATGATTTTTGGCTTTCCTCTTTTCTTGCTTTGACTTTTCAGCTGGCGTAGCGGCGTGCAAGGTAGGAGAGCTGTGCTCAGCCGTACTGCAGTACTCGGTGTCCCCTCTAAACTCAGGCATCTGTGAAGTCCTTGTGTTCTGTCTCACGTTTGACCACAGGATTTACTTACCTTTTTTGCCAACCTAGGGCAAGCCCTTTGCACTGCTCTTTGGCCTGGAGGGGAGATACAAAGCCGGACTGCGCTCCTGGCTCCGAGCAGCAGGTTGGGATCCGCGGAGGGAGCAGTGGGAGCTCATGCCAAGATAACAGCGTGTGCTCATTCAGGGCCTGCTGTGTGTACACGTGTGAGAAGAAGGTGAATAAAGAATAATTATGCACCAAGGAGTACCCCAAAATCTCAGGCTTTAAAACCATTGAATTATTTACTTGCTCTTCTCCCCTGTGCACACACAGTTCTGAGCTGCAGAACTCACCCTTCCAAGAGGTGAAGAGCATAAATGTGTTACAAGAGCAGTAGGAGTGGAGAAAAAGACCTGAAAAAGGCCAAGAAATGTGACTGGACGCAGCTGCTGACTGTAGAAATCCTTAAGCCGCCGAGGTTCGGGGTTGGATTTAATCCAGTGGCAGACTGTTCTGCGCAGGTCCCGTTGCTCCTCTTTTCTCTAAGCCTCCTTAGTGGCCACTGTCTCTGTGTGTGGATCTGGAGGAGTTTAGCTGTGACCCGGAGTGGCTGCTCTTCTGAGTCTGTCTGTGTAGCAGGGACAAGAAAAACTTCAGCCTTTTATCTTCTGTGGGATTGCAGTGATTTATGCCAAGACTAAACTTGTTCCGTGTTGGCTAACTTTGTACAATCCCTATGGTAGTTTGCAGGAGCCAGCAGACTTTGGACCTGGTATAATATTGTTTAAAACAGCCTTCGATTCCTAGGAAGCAGAACCTTCCCTCTCTGGGAGGAAGAAAGAGTATTCTGCAAAAAAAGTGTCGCTGGAGTAAAACAAATTTCCATTGAACTGGATATGTCTAGCTAAGCTAGAGCGTATGATGTGGCCTTTGTGCTATGCAATAAGAACATTTCTCTTTCTTCTGTTTCCTGAATAGGGAGGAAGACAAGAACATTTTTGATTACTGCAGAGAAAACAACGTTGACTACGTAACCAAAGCCATTAGATCAAAAAGTGTGGATGTGAACGTCGCCGATGAGGAGGTATGGAGAAAAAGAGCAAATCCATCAATCTTGGTCATTTTGCGTGTTCACAACCCCAGGCCTTTTGGGAGTGGTTGCTTTAGGATTGGTGAGGTTGGGTGCTGCAATAACTGGAGAAGTACTTGACCACATTGAGACAAGTGAGATCTATTTTAAAGTAGCAATAGCTTTCCCTGTCTCTCTAGTACTGTGCATGTGCAAGGTAGGATGCCAAGACACATCAGAAAATCTTCAATGTTATTTTAGCAACACCAGCAGTAGCTTGCAGAGTGAGATCTACTCAGTAACCTCTTTCCCTATTCTGTGCATTAGATATCATCAAATAGAAGTAGAAAATTAGGGAAATGGCTTTTCTAGAGCAGCAGCCAGCTGACGGATGAGCTGCTTTTGCCACTCAGAGTAGTCAGGGTTTCGTTTGTGGCACCCCAAATTATGTCCCAGGGCTGGATGTCACTTGGCTTCTTTATTCTCTGTCAGGGCTAGTGAGAGGCTCTGGCTGTACCAACCTCATGAAAAAGATGGCTTTGGTCTCTTTCACCTTAGCAATCAGAATCAGAGCCCCAGTTTCCCACAGAGAGACATACAGACATTGACCAAGGCTTTAAGTGAGAGAAAGGTACCTAAACCAGCAAATGGGTTTGGTATTTTAAGGAGGCAGTCCCGTGACTGCTGTCGGCCCTTGTGGGAACGCAGTGGTAGCAGCTCCGTGGTGGTGGTGGCCACGGTGCTCCCGTAGTGCCCCTCGCCCCGCTCCGGAATGCAGGAGCTGCGGCCGCTTCCCGGCACATTGTGTGCTGGGGAACAGATGAAGTGCTTACGCATTCATAGACTGAGACGCCGCAAATTCAGCTGGGTTCTCTCGCAGCTCTGAGCAGATTTCTGCCCTCTGAGCCATGACAGCCCCGGCTGGGGCTCTGAATGCTGATGGCAGGGACTTTTTATTATTAATCAGGAATTTGTGTGAATTAATTTTCAGAGAAGAGGGAGGTTGTTCACAAGCAGGTTGGAATTTCACATCATAAATTCAATGAACTGAAACCGTCACACGCAACAGCAGCGTCGGCTGGGCTCCGTCCGTCCCTCCACTGACCACGGGCTGCAGAAGTAAACACTCAGGGCAGTCATTCAGGAAAGGACTGAAGTCCTTTCATTGATAAGGCTCAGTTTTGTGACTCTGCTTGCATTAAGGATATGATAAGATGTTCAAATTGCTTTATTTCCATTGAAAAGATGCGCTCAAATTGCTAGCGGGGTTCAGGCATGTCTAACTTCCTCTGTTCAAAGGACAAACACGCATGATTTCAATGCTTTCAAACAAACATTTTGTTCTTCAATTATAACATTTTCTGAAAGATGGTGGAAATATTTTTGTGTTCTCACACCATGAATGCTAAGAGACACAGTGAAAACTGTCCAGTTGCATCCTCCTTGAGAATTGCTATGAATCTTTCATATAACAGAGGGACTAATTCAGGAAGAGCAACTACTAGCATGCAACTATTGCAGGGCATGGAATTGCTTTAGCACAGAGGAAACCCCTGAAACCTTTTCTACCTGCAGGTTCATGGGAAACTTCCTGCTGGTGCAAAATTCACCTGTGAATGGGACTTTTACAGCCTTGTTTTTTGTGTCTCGCCCCAGCAAATGCTCTGAAACAGAACTTTTTCGGGGGCAAATGCTGGCTTCCTTAGCTTGTGTGTGTATATACATATATGCGCACACATATAAAATACATGTATGTGTATATAGATTTTAATGAAAAAGAAAAATCTGAGAGAGAATTTTATTTCATGGTCTCTTAAGGAGCTGAAGCTGTTAACAGTGTTGCTGGGTATCTTCAAAATCTGGAGGGAAGCTTATTTTCCAATATCATGCAGGCTGATTGAAGTTTTAGAACCCATTTTGGAGGATATATAACCCAGTCCAAGCCTTTGGTAGAATGAAGTGTATGGAAGCATAATCTTGTCATTTTTATTAACTATTTTAGTGTTACTGTATAAATACATCCTGCCATATCCAAAAGATGCATCTCCTGGCCCTCTGAGCATAACTCACACTGTCACTTCTTTGATTTAAACACCAATAAATCTGAAGCGGCAGCAGATAAATACAAAGAGTTAACTGATTAGGGAACAAAATCTGCTGAAGCTCTGGACAGTCTCCTGCTGAAGTGTTTCAGAAGCCTGGCACATCTTGGCCTGCTACATCAGGGCCTTGGTGGAGGCTGTAAGATGTGTAGATTGGATCTGTGTTTTTTAGTTCGGTATCTAACTGTGTCCTCCCCCCTGTTTTTTGCAAATCTGAGAGGAGAATTAGCAGAAGGAGAGAGAAACTCAGAGCAGGGGCGAGACTCCTTACTGGAAGCAACGGGATTTCAGGAAAGGGCAGGAGATTTCTCTAGGTTTTAGAGATGCATTTAGTGACTTTCAAAGAATAAACTGAAAAGAAAAAGAAATCCCTCATGCAGCACTCAAGCCAGCGTACCTGCTAACAGTTTGGATATCATAAACTTCAATTTTGAATTAAACAAAGAACCTAATGACAGTAATCATGTACAAGCTTTCACTTACTGTATCTAAATTGCCTGGAGTTCACTGGAATAGCTTGTGTTCACTTAGAAGTAGCACAGACTGAAAAAAAAAAAAAAAAATTAGTTTCTTCCATATGTCAGCAGGACTAATGAAATAAGAACGGAGCTCTGGCTGCAGGGCTTCAGGCACGTTCCCGTGTTGTAGATTGCCGCCTTCTTGAGGACAATGTTTCTGCAGCCCTTAACAAACCGGGGGCAGAGATGAGTGGCTTGTGTAACGCATGCCAGGACTGTGGGGGCTGCAGATAAGGATTTCTCTTTCAGTTGTGGAAGGAATTGCCCTAAACAAGCACATTACCTGTGTACAGCAATTGTAAATGATGAACGGCAGCTGGAAGGACTGAGGGGCAGTTCAGAGGCAAACTGATGCCAGGAGAGTGGTTGAAGCAGCATCACGCTCCTCTACCTGCAACCTCGTCCCCCAGGCGTTTGAAGGCTCAGAAAGCAAGTGACTTCCAAACCCAGTCTCAAATTCATGTGTATAATTGCCACAACTGCCTTCTCCTTCAGCAATTCTGCTGTCAGGGCTGGGGATGCAGCTGTTCCAGGTCGGGCTCTCTGGTTTGCAGCAATTACGGCCGCGAACGCTGTACCTGGAAGTACAGCTCAATGCTGCAGGGCAGCCGTGCAGCTTGGCTTTGCTCCTCTCTTCTCTGCATTGCCTAAGTGATGTGAATGTTATTCCCACACGGCTGTCTGCTGAGGCTCGGTCTATCCGAGACAAATCCCTGTCCTGTGCTTTGTTTGTGAACACCCTGTGACTTGGAGCAGCGCAAAACTGATCCGCTCTTGGCTTGAGAAGCTGCTACAGAAGCCAGCCAAGCTGGCAGTGGTAGCCCGAGCAGAGCACAGAAGATTTAAGAGGCAGGGTTGGTGCTCTCAAGCTATTTTTATGCTCTTTTATTATTATTAAATACTTTAGTGGCAGGGGCAATGCAACCTGTCAGGTAACTTCAGTAACACTGTTGAGACTACTGTGCACTCAGTGCAGATTTGGCTCATCTCTGAAGGTGGGTTGGTGCTGGTGGGGGGTTGGTTGCTCGTTTCAATAGACTAGGTAAATAAGTAGATTTGGTAGGTGGCTAGGTCCGTTACCTGGAACTTCCCAACCTTTTCCGGATGTTACGCAAGGAAGACGGAAGAATTCCTTGCTTTATAAACAAGTTTCTTCGGAATGTTGCTCGTTACATGGCAGCTGGACCGCGTTTCTGCTGCGGGTGTTTGTGCTTCCCTATCAGGCTGGGTCTTCTTGCAGAGAGGGGCTCTGGGGGCCTCAGCCCCCTCTCCTTGCAGGTAGTACCAGATTGCAGCCGGGCCCTGCATGGGGCATGTCAGCCTTTTAATTGTGCACAATTACGATGCAGAGCCATTTAAGGCACTAATTGGAAAATATTGTATCCATTTAGAATTGCAGCGAAAATATATAGGTAAGCAGAGTGTAATTACCCAAAGTGGAATTGGCCCAGGACTTGAAATCCATACTCCGGCAAAAAGCACAAGGAGACTTTTAATGACTGCAGATGATCAGGCTTCAGTTTCTGGTCTTGTCTGAAAGGCAACGCTTGCAGCATAACCAGCCTTCTAGGAGGTAGGAAGGGACCAGTTCTGCAGGGCTTCAGTAAGGCTGAACTTAGAAAACATGCAGTACTCCTCCTCCTAAACTGTTGCTTTTTCTTTACTGATTTTGGCCAAATTCAACACTGATAAAGTGGTTTTGCTCATCTGGCAACATATGCAAACCAAGATATTATAGCTACTAATTTGTAACACTGTTTTTGCTGTTTAAAGAAAAAAAAAAACAGCTTTATTTTGCCCTGTAATTAAACTATAATTATTGCTTGGTTACAGCAGTATTCCCATACAATAGATCATTCCCATTTATAAGTGCAAAGTACTTATTAAATTTAGGCATTTTGCACATAAAGCACTTCTCTTGGTTTTTTTTTTTTTTTTTTTTTTCCTTCTGAAATAAACATCTATGGCAGAAAGGAGTTTGTATTGGTAGCCCAACTGAAATGCTAAATTGTAAGTAATTAGTAGTACAATGGAATCGAGAATATTAAAGATGAATTTAAGTCTTAAATTAGACTCGTTATTCCCCCCTTTTAGATTTTGGTTGTGGTGTGGAGTGAACGTTAATCATTAAATGCCCCGTGGATGTCATCAGTGCTTCCGTAGAAAGTCATAGAGTGCTTAAGGTTGGAAGGGACCTCAGAGGTCATCTAGTCCAACCTTCCTGCTCACACAGGGTCACCCAGAGCACGTGGCACAGGGCTGCGTCCAAGTGGATTTTCAAGATCTCTGAAGAAGGAGACTCCACAGCCTCTCCGGGCAGCCTCTTCCAGGGCTCTGGCACCCTCACTGTCAAAAAGTGTTTTCTCAAGTTCCCGTGGAACTTTTGGTGCCTCAGCTTGTGGCTGTTTCCTCTAGTCCTATCCCTGTCCACCACTGAAAAGAGGCTGCCTGGACGGTGGCACAGGTAGGAGGTGGTTTCCAAAGGGTCCCCTGCATACCCACCGTAGGACGACTGACACCAGTGCCAGCAGGAATTTCAGGAGTGTGGCGCTTCTGTCTGGCACTATTTGGGGCTTTTGCTTTTGTCATGGGCTGTATCAAATGGTCTGTGTGTCATGGGAAGGTTTTGGACTGACTTATTGAAAGGCACTTACTACTCTGGATGCATTTTGTGCCTGGGATTGGGAGATGAGCGCTGCAGCCTTGGTGCAGGGTTGCTGATGTCTGTGGAACTGTCCTGTAACCCAGCTTGGGCTGCTCACAAGGACGAGTGTGGCCTTCCCGCTTGGGCTGCTCACAAGGATGAGCGTGGCCTTCCCGCTTGGGCTGCTCACAAGGACGAGCGTGGCCTTCCCGCTTGGGCTGCTCACAAGGACGAGCGTGGCCCTGCCCAGCTGCGGGTGCTCCAGCACAGCGGGCTCAGGATGCTCCTGGGGAACCCAGCCCAGAACCTGAATTTGAGCTCACCAGGCTCTGTGGTTCTGCACCCTTCCCAAGGCCAGCGAGATGTGACTTTGGACACCTCGGGCTTTGAAGTGCCTGACCCTCAGGAAATGCTGCTTTTGGGCCGGGAGCTGTTCCTGGTGGTGGTATCTGCCAGAGGAGAGCAGCTCCAGCTGTGGATGTGTAAGCATCCACAGGGGTCATTTTTGTCTGTTTCAGTCTGTTCTCTGCTGCATAGATATGTTGCTCTTAGTCACTAAAGGGGAAGCGTGCAGGTCAAGAGATGAACTGATCAGAAAAATATGTGAGTTCCTCAGGAGCGTAGAATTGCTGGCTGTTCTCAGCGGGGAGCAGTGTAAGGAGGTGACAGTGTTGTACTCTGCTCATCCTTCTATCCCTCCACTCCAGCCGTTCCTTTTAGTAGATGATATGACTTGAGGGAAGAAACTGAAAGGGAGCTAAAGAGCATCCTTTTGCTTTAGCAGCATTTCTTTTCCCTGTCTTATCTTAATCTTTTCTAAAAGTGGCATAAAGCAGGGATTTGAGTTTAAGATGGGGGAAAAAATCCACGTGGCAACCTCACCCACAACAGCGGTGTTCAGCTGTGGCTCCATCAGGAGTGCTTAGCATCCAGAGCTTGGGGATGGCCTTGGCGAATAGGAAGAGTCTCTTTGCACGGCCTGGGGCTAACGTGGTTAATTTTCTTTTGGATGTTTGTAGGGCAGGGCCCTGCTCCACTGGGCTTGTGACAGAGGACACAAGGAGCTCGTTTCGGTCCTGTTGCAACACTCTGCAGATGTTAACAGACAGGTAAGAAAGCCATAAAAAGTTGAACTTGAATCATGTTTTGTATTACCTTCCAAGCACATGTTTCCCAGGAAGCAGAATTGTTGCCTGATGCCATAGCAAGTTCTTTCAGCACCTTTGTCATGGAAAAGAGGATCTAAAGGGAGTTAGTCTGTGGAAAAAATAAAATTCAGGTGCATGAAATGCATGTGCAGAAGGAGCCTTTTTCAGTTCTCAATGCTATTTTTCCTTGCAGTCATTTTCTTTGCCCACATGGCCATCACTTCTTGTATGACAAGAGGTGTTTCTCGTGTGCTGAGTGTTTAATACTTAAAGCAGCTTTTCAGCCGCTGCGGTTTGCACCTCTTAAGTGTTAGGAAAACCGGTGGTGGTTTTCAGGTGCCTTACCACACCAGCCTGTGAACTGCACTGTTTCACAAAGGTTCTTCCCACCACTCGCCCAGATCAGCCTGTGCACGTGAGCCCTCCCTCCTAGCTTTCCGGCCTCTTTTAGGTGTAAATGGCATTGTGTCCAGAAATAATTATTGAACATATTTCTGTCAAATTATCATTGAGGGCTCTTTGCCACGGTGGCTTTTGCTGCTTGGTTCTGCCCAGGTGGAGATGGTTCCGCCTGTTTAGCCCAATCTGCCCTCTTTAACAGCCTCTTTAACAGCCCGTGGACAAGCGCCTTGGCAGTTCTCACCAGACAGGTCTTTCCCCCCCTCACCACTCCCTCTCCCAAACATTAATTTTGTATTAAATTCTTTTCCTTTTTTTTTTTTATGATGTATTGCACGTTTTCTAACCAGATTATTTTTGGCCATTAACAAAAGGTTAAGAATAGCCATAAAAAGAAAATCAGTCTTTGTTCTTTTTTTTTTTTTTTTGGACCAAGGTAATAAAGGAGAATTTTTTTTATAAAGGTCTTGTTTGCACATAGGCATCTTCCCAGAGAAGGCAGACACTTTTTTATTCTCAGCCGTATATAAATTGAAATCATATTTCAAGACAGTGACCTAATGTTTATTTTTCTTTTTTTTTTTAATCTTGACCTTTACCCTGAAAGATTTCACATCCAAGGCAGCAGCAGAAGGAATTTTTAAAGAGCTGCTTAAAGGGAGAGGGAAAAAAATTGGCGTTGTAACAACGCTGCAATATCTGCTAGGATCCATCAGCAAATTCACCCTCGGTTGACGTGTAGGCTCTAAAAGAGAGGGAAGAAAGTGTCGGGGAGTCTCTGGTGAGTGGATTAAGGGGCGCTGGGAAGCGGGGCTCTCCGGGGACGTCCCCTCTGCCGCTGCTCTGCCAAAGGCCGGCGCGCGAAGCGGCTCCGCGGCTGCCGGGCTCCTCGGCTGCCTTCCGTCTCCTGCAATTCCGCAGCGCTTCCGAAACGCAGGCCGCGCAGGAAGTGGAGGATCAGTTAGGGATTAGCAGGGTTAAGAGCAGATAGTAAAGAAGAGTGATCGTAACCAAAATTAAAAAAGAGGGGAAAAAAAAAGAAAAAAAGCCAGTGTTTTAGTATCCTTCTAAAAAGTTAGTCGAAAAGCCCAGGTGATTTATGCTTTCCTCCATTACCCTCCTAATAATACCCTCGCCCTGCGCCGCCCCCGCTTGGGCCTTGTCCCTGTGGAAGTGCACGCAGCCTCCGGCTCGAGGGGCTGTAAGAGGGGCAGGAGTTCCTGCTCTTCTGTGCTGAGCAGGCAGAGAGGCTTCCTGCTTCCAGCCCTTCCACCTGCTCCAAGCGGCTCCAGTTTTGGGAATAACCCTGTGCTCCTGAGCTGCAGTGCTTCAGTGCTGGTGCTTTTTGTTCCAGTTACCCTTATGATGGTTCACTAATGTCACTGAAAAAACACGTTTGTTAAACCCTGATTGTTCAAAATTAGCTCTAACAGCACGTTTGAAAAGAGGAGGTAAGTGACTGCCATGGGCGAAGGGATGCAGAAGGGCAACAAGCTTCTCTGCTTGGTTGGGAATGTGATCCAATTGCCTGGACCTGTGCAGCCAGAGGCTGTTTCAGAGCAGGTGGTGCTGTGGTGTTTTGGGGTGATTCCCAAGTATCCAGAACTTGGGAATCGGTCTAAAACCCGCCTGCTCCCACTGGAGCACTGCTTGTGTAAATTGTAGGCTTTTACCTGAGTGACAAAGTGGAAGGAAGTGTATTCCCAACATTTGTCCTTATGAAGGAGCTCAAGCAACGTGGTTATCCTGTGCTTTTCCAGCTTTAAAATAGCTGAAGATACAAATAAGCTTTGCTTGCAGAAGGACAAGCCACAAAGGAAAACCTTTGTGTGAAATGCTGATTGCTACAGGGATGTTTTATCCTTGCAATGTTGTATGACAGTCATTTGCCGGTGCTTAACTTTGTACTAGAATTAGACACTGCTCAAGGATGAAAATAATTGTAACTGGGACCTTCAGTTTTTGTTTTATTTGTTGACATTTCACTTCATGAGGAGAGACGCACAAAATTTAACCGTGTTGCAGCCACTTTCCCTGGTCACCCATGGACCCGGTGTGGTTTGAGCAGGAAACTTGAGAACCAAAGCTGAAAAGCCTCAGGTTAGGAAGTCTGCTGCTAATATGTGCCATCTAATTTTATTCCTTCACCTACACCTGCAATTTCCATGAAAGGCACCCAGTGTGAATGCTGCCTGCAGTGAGAGGTGGCAACGCTTTGTTGCCAATGCTGATTTTTCAGCAGAGGTTCTGAGGACAGGTGAATTTGCACATAGGCCACTTGTTCTTGGCCTAGATGTCAACCTCCATAGAGGTTCCACAGTGAGATGGGAGATGTCTTGGAAGTGCTGCGGCTTCCTGGCAGTCGGTCCCGGAGGGGGCCGGATCCGAATGCGGCCTGGCTCTCTTGTGGGGCCTTCCCAAGAAGGATGAATTTGCTGGGGTGCATTGAGTGGCAGAAGAGCCTTGTTCCCTCATCTGTCCTCCCCATTAGGGCTCCCCGAAGTGGCATGCTCTTGGGCAGGGAGAGAATGGCATTGCAGCTGCCTCTTGCAGTTGTCTGGTCACATGTAAGCCTGCGATTTCGATTCCTGCTGGATTTTTTCCAAGGCATCCCGAGGAGGAGCGTGGCTGCCTCTCCAGCAGGCCCGGGCAGTGTCTCTGCAGCGGGTGGCCGCTCTCCTCCCTGTCTGCATGGCAACACACGGAGCCAGAGGGTCCTGGGGACCAGCACGGGCAGGAGCCGTCCCCTTGTGATACCTTCGCTCGGGGCCTCGTTGGGGAAAAAAAAAAATCTTTTCAAATGGAGACAATACAAACATAATAAATGGCAGGGAGGGTTCATCTCCCTCATGACTCAATCCTTCTCAAACAGCATTATTATTGACTGGCCTATTGGTTGCCAAAAAGGAAAATCAATTGTACTAGAAGGAGCTGCTGGGCCACAGATCATGGTACTAACCCAGCAGAGACAGGTTGATTTTTATCAACTGTCTAAAGACTAATTTCCACCATTAGCTAGAAACGAAGTAGGAATTATGGATATGTCAAAGACTGTGAAGAGTGGTCTTTGTTTTTTGTGTCCTGTTTGTATGGCTTTTATTTCCTTAACTGGACCCTACAAGGCTGATGGGTGGATAGGATAAAATAAAGGGAGAAAAAACGTCAGGCCTGTTTCGCTGCCTGCCAGTGCCTCTCTTTTCAGTGCTGTTCACTTGGATTTCACAGCGTGAATGGGAGCTGCTTCAATCCCTGTGTTGGCTGCATGTGGTGCAGGCATTTAAACCCAAAGGTGGCCTTAGCAAGCACGCTTCCCTTCGCTCCCTGCTCTATTTTGTGCCATTCCCTATCCACAGGGAGGTGGGTGAGGGAAGTATTGTGCTGTTAGAATTATTTTCTAGAGCTACTCAAGATTAAAGAGAAAATCATATCAGAGTCCTAGGCTGTGAGAGCCTTTCCCCTAAATCCTGGCTTACAAAGCTGGGAGGGACCTGCTCCTGGACCTGGTGATTGCTGCAGAGCTTTGGCTGCTCGCACCGCAAGCAAAGGATGTTGCAGGTACTGCTGAATCAGCCGTCACTGTAGCAGGAAAGTGCAGGGGCAAACAGGTGCAGAAACGAAGTGGAGAGACAGAGCAGCTAACCCAGTTAACCAACACAGGTACCACCTCCAGCTCGTCTCTGTATCCCCATCCTGCTCCCGTCGCCCCTTCAGTTTTCCGTAGTCCGCTTGGCCGAGCAGCTCTCCGAAGCCTGCAGGCCTGCGCCCCTCCACTGCGGACACCCTTGCCAATGGGCGTGAAATCCCTTAGGCAAGGGAAGGGACAGATCTGCTCAGTGATGGAGAGGAGCTTGCTCCATTAAAGCATTGACTTGGTGCCAGTCCCACGTTACTGGCGGTGGCAGAGCTCCGTGCCGCTCCTGCGGGGCTCTCCCTGCAGCGGCCATTGGCAGCAGGTTGAATGTTGAATGGTCGCCACTCAGCAGATGCTGATTTTGCCTCCTGCAAGGAAAGTCCCTTTCAGCAAAAGCACTTGTAAAGTATTTGCAGCTCCAGCTATCTTCTGCGTGAGGAAGGAGATTGCTCCATGCTCCCTCTGCCAGCTTCTGAAGAACCCCTGAGCCTCCCAGTGGAAACCATGGCTTGTAGCAAGGACGGGGTGTTTCCTGCTGCTTGTGCTTGCTGGCTTTTGCTGCCCTGTCCCTCTGCTTCTGCCAACCTGCCGTGCTCGGGCTTTGTTTGCTCAGCTCCGCCGAGTGGGGTGAGTGACGGCCGCGCAGCAGCGTGCTTGGCACCCCTGCTCGGGCAGCGCGGGCACCGTACGGCACCATTGCTGCAGAGCAGGCTTGCCGGCGGGGAAGCCACGAGCCTCTCTGCTCCCTTGGGATCCACACAGGTCTTCCAGCCCCTACACTCAGAAGCAGCGTTTGAAAAGGGCCTCCGTGGACAGAGGCTCCACCAGGGAGCTTTTGTGCGGACAGGATCCTTGTGCGGAGGAGGAGCAGGCAGCTCATTCCCTGCTGGCTTTCCTTGTCCTTGCAGATGTGCAAAGGAGGCTTAACTTG